ACTCTGAAGGAGGTGCAGGGGGCTCGAGGTCCAAACGCAGACAGAAAGAAGAGCGCGGTAAAACATTACGGCCTCGTGTCCCGACCTGGCAGGCAGGATGTGCTCTGAATTGGGATGCTGAATGGGCAAAGGCATCCTGAATCAAGGAATTGCATTACCTGGCGGCGGGTCCTCGTCGTCTTCGTACTGAAAGTCTTCTCCTTGAGCTGCGTCAAATGGCTTTCCATCACTGGATACCTTTTGGTTCTCCTCAGTAGACACCTTTTGGTCCACATCAGTAGACTTTTCATTAGAAGCCAGCGGCACCGGGTCTGGAGCAACAGACCCCTCCCTAGATGCTTTATCACCCTTCAACCCGGCTATTATGTGGCTGAGAAAGACGAAAACGACGTACCCATGCGAGACGAGCTCAGACAATCGCTTAAGCTAGAATTCCACAGATTCTTGGGCAACTTCTGCAGAAGCTGGTTGAGCGCCCGGGAGAGTATGACTACAGCCGGTATGCTGCGCTCATCGACGGCGCTCTGCAACCTCTGAAGAATGAGGATAAGCGCCTCCCACCATAGAACCGCAGTCGTTTTGTTGTAGGTGAAGGCGTCGTCCTCGCCAACAATGAGCCCCACCTTTTCGAGGAAGATGTGGCAGCCGGCGTCGAATATTTTGACTTGGACCTCGGGGAGGGTTTCGTAGGCCGACGGTTTCCAGGTCGCCAGCTCGGCGGGCGGGTAGGTCTTGAGCACTCGACGTAGGCGGTGGCGGAGCTTTGAGCAGCAGGACGTGACAAAGTAAAGACAGACAGCCCTGTAAGTTTTGCCGACTATCGCGTCATCTGGCTCGGCCTTGACGCGCACAGCGGCGGTGCGGAGAATGTGCAGGCTTTCTGCCACGAATTCGGGAAATGGGAGAGAAGGGATGACCTCCGGATCGAATGGATCTGAGGCAATAATGCGATCTCTGCGAGGATGGCGATCAGCACTAGCACACTAGATGAAGAATAGGATCGCGTACAAGGTCCCCATGGCACGGCCGGGATCGGGACATGGAACGATGCCCCGAAAAACGGTGCCGTCTACGGCCGCTGAGGATGACGTTCCTGGCTCGGACCTGTAATTATTTGAGTACAAGACAAATATAAAGAAGGCCTGGTGAGCAGCACCTTGAGGAAACGAAGATTGCCATGCCATTCAGCTCAAACGGGCCGGCGGTGACGGTAACGTTTTCGTCTCGATATTTTCCCCGGCTCAAAATCGTCGCAAGTCGATTTAGGTTTGAGCTGGTCGGTGTGCGGTCCCTAATCTGAAAGTCATCCCTAGGATTCAAGGCGCCCGTCCTCGGTTCCCTGGTCTCGAGTACAGAACCTAAAGCTGTAAGGTGGTAGACACTGTCGCGCACGCTAATCGGAATTGTGAGGTTCGCATCCTCGCTGGAGACGGTCAAAGACATGAAATGGGTCTGAGACAAGAAAGTAAGGGAACACTGTTTCATTTCAAATCGAGAAAAAAAACCGAACAAGTCATTTTTTGAGCCAGTCGACCCCTAGGGCGTAGAATGCAACAGAGGCTGGCCATCTGGATCCATGAGTGGTTCAGCGGGTGTGAGCAAAAGAGATGTGGTTTGACCGTTGACGGCAGTGGCCAAGCCTAAACGTGCATCAAAAGATGACATAAGCCTCGCATTTCCACTTCGACCAAAACCACACCAAGCCGGAGAAAATTGAGCCAAGACTCGGATTGCTTAGCGCCAGTCAAGGTGCCAGTTGATCGTGGATAATGACACTGGACATCGAATGACTTGAAGAATGGCGCTGTGCGCTCCGATTCTCTTCAAGGGTCATTCCTTCTCGGGTGCATATTCACCATCAAGGTACTAAAGGTTGACGGTGGCATGATGTTCAATGAGGTCAATCACCGAGTAAAAAAAAAACTGACAAGAAAAAAAATGTTTGAACCAGTGCAGATATACATACTGTTGTACCAGCAAATTCAGGCGGCCAGGCGCGTCGGCATTCTGATCTCCGACATCGATAACATCTCGTCTGAAACGAAAAAAAATCCGCATTCAGCCACAGAATCCAGGAAACAAAACGCAAACCAAAAAGCTTACTTTGGCACTCATCGAAAACCTCTTAAACATTCAGAAATCATACGCACCATCCTACTAGGATCGACCGGCAACTTCTTGAACTCCTCGGGCCCCTCCATGTCCGTCTCACCCGGCGCACAACGGCGAAAATGCCCGTTCTGGCTGTACTTGTAGAGCGGCACCCGCGTGCCATCGGGCTTCTGGATACCGATGACGCCTTGGCCCTTGAGGCCCGACAAGCCCATATGATGCTGCCGCGCATATGTCATCCACTCTTTCGACGGGGCCGCCGCGTCGAGTTCAGCATCGGAAATCTTGCGCGGGAGGGGCCAAAACGACGCATGGAAGTGCGTGATGCCGCGGTTGACGTGCGTGATGTAGCGATGGAGGTCGAAATCGGGTGGGAGGGCGTATGTGTCAATGGTCAAGGGCCCGGGGGGATCGAGTAAGAGCGTCCACATTTGCGTCTCCGACACAACACCGCCCGGAAGGCGACAAAATCCCACTAAAACACCGGATCGATAATTCCTTTCGTCCATTCCGTAGTGTTCACAAAGTCGTCGCTGGACTTGCGCACGAGCAGCGCGACCTTTTCGATAATGAAGGTGCGATGATCGTATTTGGAGCCTGTACGTTCCCCGACGAGTTTGAGGAAAATTCCGACGTTTACTTTCTTCGCTATTTCCTTGTCGTTCTTTAAAGCTGCACACGCGATCATTGCATGGTTTTCTGAATTCAATAAGTTCCTGCGTAAAGCCAAATCAGCCGCGGCACGCGACGACGAGCAAATATCTTACCACTGAACCACCTTGTCGACGAGATCAAGGGAGGGGTCGTTGATCGTCCTGGTAGATTTGAGCTCAGCAGGTCATAATCAAGCAGAACAGAGGCGAACCCGGGTCCAAGAGATTTCGCAAAGATAGTGGACAGCTTTCTATCGGCCTCAAAAAGATGGCATCGATTCTTGTGGCCCTCGCTCCAATCTTGTTTCTGGCACTCTACCTATAGAAAATACGTTAAGCACGAGGACAGAACAATCGAGTTACATCCTTACAGAGCAATATTTCGCCAAAAGACACCCCGAGCAGGAACGAAGTTGCTGCTTCTTGAGGGACGATTCGAGACGACCACAGGCATCGCAGATTGGCTCCGGTTGATCCCAGACGATGAGATGTGGCCCAACCTGCTCGTCAAATCCGGGTTTCAGATCGAAAATGGGAGAAGGCATGCTAGTCAGAACGAAAGTGCAGGACGAGTGAAGAAAAGGTAGGCAATTGGGCACGGACTTCTCAAATTTAGAAGAGGCGGATGTGACACATAAGATCGGCGTTGGTTCTGTTTCCAGCAGTTCGAACCTGGCCCAGAGTTCAATTTCTTCCAGAGATTCAGAATGAAGAAAATGGCCAGAGGCGGGATTGAAATCGAAGACAGTTCGTTTCTAAAAGGCCACTGAATCACCGAATCATAGATAAAAAATTCCTGAGGGCGAAAGCGCCAATTCGTTGCCAGTATAATTTTTCCATCGAAACAATCTGGTTCGAAGTCGGCGAAAGGCTGAGAGGGCCCAAAACTGAATAGACTTCAAAGTGGACAGAAAGAAACTTGAAAGCCTTGAAGCCTTGAAGCTGTGCAACCCACGGATTCCACCCGGTTTCTTTCGCCACACAGAGCCGTCGAAACTCGGAAGTAGAACGAAAGAGCCTGTGCAGCCCGTCATGAAGAATTGAAGTGCACACTTCAAGTTCCGAGTCGGTGGGTGCGGGTACTTAGGTAGGCAAAATCCCCGCCCCCATTTAATTACCTTGCTCGTCAAGGTAAGACGGGATCTCATTTTTTGGAGAGTTGCCAGGATATCATGATCCGGCCTCGTTGTTCAATCCAGAACCGCCAGCCCATTTCTATTGGCACTCAGATCTTCCATGTCCCTAAGCCGGCAGTGAATATTCGACATGATCCTGCTTCTGGCCATTACTTACTGTTTATTGCTGAGAATGATCGACATACACTCATGATCAGCATCTTGCAGTTACATCCACCAACTGTAGAGTTTTCGAGGCCTGAGATGACATCGCGATATCATGTAGAAATTCGAACCGTGGGAAAGTTATAGTTTGCCTCGATGATTGATCGGAGTCGAGTTTTTTTTGGAAGAGTTGGCGCGTTCTTCTGACTCCTCGACTATGGAGCGATGGAAAGATCGAATTGAAGGGAGGTAAAAGGAGTTGAACATGAGCCTGTGCAGAAAGAGAGAAAAATAAGGATGAAAAGATGAAAATGCTGTGGTGAGCGTCCGAGTCGAAGCCACGTCTCCAAGAGCGGGAAAAAGTGTACAATTCCAAGGCAATCTGCCATTGATTCACAGAGACCTCGATGCATTACTGCGCCTTACAAGGGCGTACCATCTACCTCACATCTGAAGGATATGTAAATAAGACCACAAGCTTCATATATTCTGGATTCACACCCTCCACCCTCTATCATTGCCAGTCTTGCTTGAATCTCCCCCGAGCGAGGTTCGAAAACATAATTCCTTTGAATGACGAAAAGCAGAGCCACGAAGCTAGTAGAACAAAAAAAATAACGAGAAGGATATGCCTCCGATGAGGTCGAACTCATCTCTCCTAGAAAACCTTCCGATGACAACAGCAGAAGTTCAAGGCGATCTACCGTTGATCTACGGAGGCTTGATACCTGCATCCTTCTGTGCAGCCTATTATATGCTACAGTTGCGAATGCACAAGCCAAATATTTTGCTGTTCAGAAGGATTCTCAGCCGACGTGGACCGGACCCTGTCGAAGCTGAACGATGTCAAGCAATTAAAGTGGTGAGAAATTATCGAGAGGGGATTTAGAAAAAGAGAAGGGATGTAGGATAATAATACTATTTCGAGAAAAAAAATCATCCGTCGCATTGGAAGTGCCTCTAGTGGGAGTCGAACCCACGTCTCCTCGAGAGCTTTACTTACCGCACCAATCGTTACAATTTCGAGGCGATTTACCACTGATCCAGAGGCGTGAGGGTTATGTGATATTTTGTAGAAGACTTGAAGATCGAGGAGCGAGAACAGCTCAGATATAATAGGCTGCACTGCTGAGCGCTGAGTTGAGAGACGCAGGGAAAATTCAACCAGCCATCAGGAGAAAGAATAGAGAGTCGAACATGCGTTTCCAGAGTAACCTTTGAATGAACTGCAGAAGTGTTCCAAGGGAATCTAGCGTTAATCTACAGAGGCTTGAGACAAATTGGCATGTGTGGTAGGCATGACATGAGTGCGAGAGTTGAAAGATACGGTGAATGGAAATAGGAAGTAAAATGAAGCGGGAGGCGGCTGCGGAGCATGGAGTGGCTCAGGAGCATTGAAGTGAGGAATGAAGCCAGTCCAAAAGCTTCAGCGTAAACCGCGCCAGGGCAGCTTGAGGTCCAGGAGTTGTTGAACGTTGGTTGAGGTGATGGAGCCTGAGGAAGAAAGAAAGCTGTGTGAATCACGTAACTGATCGTATTGAACTCTCCGATTTCCCCGACCACCTCCCGATTTCGCCCGATTTTCTTCTTTGCCTACCTACCTACATACCTACCAGTGCTGCGTCTGACAGCATGCCTTTCAGAAACACACAAAGTACTACCCACATCGCCTCCGCTTAAAAATACCCCCACAGCATATACATAGCGTACACAAGAACGCTCACATCAATCTACACTCTAGCACTCTACATACTCACGAGTCTAGCACTCTACCACTAATGTCGAGTCTAGCGTCTAGCAGCACTCTACCAACCAATGTCGAGTCTACTCTAACACTTTGACACTCTAGCTCTAGCTCTCTGCTCGAATGACCTTGAGTCGAGTCGAGTAGCCAAGTACACCCAACCCTCTCTGCTACCCACTACCAGGATGTCACAACGAGAGGGTTGAACGTTTGAGGGAGCAACGGCAAGCAAGCAAGAAAAAGGAAGGAACAACGGAGCGGGCCTAAGCGCCCACCCCAACCCCCGCGGCACACCCGCCCTCCGCCGCCTGCCGCCGCATCTCGCGAATCCCATCACGGTGCGCGCGCATTGCGAGCACAATGAACAAGTGCCAGATCGCGTGTGAGCCTGCGGGCGGCGTTAGTGAAAAGCTTGTGAGAGCATACCGGGGTACGGCTCTACGAGGGAGATAAACGGAACCTACCTCCCCCACACCAATCCAGCACTCTCCCCACCCTCGCAAGCCGCCCAGTGAGGAACCGCTCCGGGATCTGCGTCGCGTAGAAGAACAGGCCGACGATGTAGAACGCGAGCGAGGGACCGACGGGGGCTGGAAACGCATCAGTAAGTAGGTATCGTTTGTCGTTTATAAGAGGAGTGTCGTTTATCAGAGTTTTTAATGAGAGGAAGGAAGAGGAGGAGAGGGTAGACGCATCGTCCCACACATCGTAGCATACACGGCGCACGATGAGGGAAGAGTAGGGGAGTATGTAGGAGAATATGTAGGAAGGAAGGAAGAAACAGCAAACACGACTCACCAACAAACCGCACCATAGCACCCCACCCCTGCAGCGCCGCGATGCCCAGGAGCGGCGCGAGCGCGGAGAACGAGATGCCCACAAAGAACGCCGTGCGCCAGAGCTACAAGAGAGAGAGAGAGCATCAGCGAGCGGTTCCAACGATAAAACGAGGGGAAAAGAGAGGAAGCCAGTAGGTTTGAAAGAGCAGTACGAAGGTGTGCATCAACAGCCTCCCACATCCGCTTCCAATCAAAGGAAAGGTAGATACAAAGGCGAGTGGCCCAGAAATCAAGTAAAATCGAGAAAAAAAGAAACACAACCCACCCGATTCTCCACCCGATTAAACCACTCGCTAAACGGCAACACATTCCCCGACACCCCACACACAAGACACAGCATCAAACACGCCGCCCCAATCGGGTGGTACGCAAGGAACGCGCGCGCGCCCGCCTGCGCCGTACCCGCCCACCGCTCCGCCGCGGCCGCGAGGTCGAACGGCGCTTGGATGCACCAGGCGAGCAGCGCGCTGGATATCGTGAGGGTGAGGTCGAGGAGCATGCGGGTGGAGGCGAAGAGCACGCCGGGGACGTCGAGTAGACTTGACGCGGCGCTCCCGCATCCCGAAGCGAAGGCGCCGAGCGCACCCGGGAGGGCACCGAAGCTACTCGCCGCAAGGTCGACGACCCCCCTCGCCCAGGTCGCGTCAATCTCCACTGCATCCACCCACGCGACCGCCTCCGCCGCCTTGGGCGACGAATCATGCAGCATCTCCGACGCCGCGTTCAACACCTCACCCATCTTCCCTTCCCCCGCACGGACCGCCGCGCTAAACACCTCGCCATCTTGTCCTCCCCCGCATGTAAGAGGACGGAGGCAGAATGCGCGCCCTCGTGAAGCAGCGCCGACGCCGAACTTGCCCCTTCCTGCAACAACGCAGACGCCGAGCTCGCCCCCTCATGAAGCAACGCCGACGCCGAGCTCGCCCCCTCCTGCAACAGCGCCCCCGCCGAATGCAGCGCCGCGCCGGGATGCAGCACCGCATGCCCCAGCGGCGTCGCGTCCACCGCCGCCTCCGCACACGCATACCCGTGGTGCACGACCGTCGCGATCGAGGTCGCGATGAGCCACCCGATGCCGACGTAGTCGACGCGTGCGCACGTCTCCATCGTGCTGTGATGGGAGGTATGTGTCAGTCAATCCCTCTCGTTTGGGTATTATCAGACGGGAGAGGAAGACTCACCCGCGATGCGCACACCCCGCCATGGTATGCCACAGCGCGCTGCTCGCGAGGCACGCGAGCGCAAAGAGCGCAAAGAGCGCCTCGTCCGGCGGGAGCGCCGCGTGGTGCAGGGGCGGGGTCGCTGCGGTGACTGATTGTGTTGCGTTGCGTCGATGGCGTATTGAGTGAGTTGCGAATACAAGATAGTTTGTGTATCATATCGACGTTATCGGTGTTCCGGAAAGCGAAGACAATGTGCGTTTGGCGAGTTGCGAATATAACAATGTGACGAGTTATAGATGGAAAGAGTGGGTAAGTCAGCTCGGATCCATGTAGTGAAGAACTCGACAAAAAACCACGCACCTCCGAACGGCGTATACCTCGCTGCGTCGTGCGTGAGCCACGCGGGGAGCAGCGAGGTTATCCACGCTATCGATCCGAGTATCCACGCTAGTGGTGTCGCTAATAATGAAAAAGGAGCGGATACCCATTCGGGTAAGGAAGAGATAGCAGCGGTCGGGTACGGCCAGACGGCGCCCGCATAGGCTGCGCCCCAGAGGACGAGCGGGACGAGGTGCGTGTGGATGTTTACTGTGGGTGGGTGGGTTAGTGTGTGATATGGGTGGTGAGGGGATGGAGGGAGGATTAAATGGAATAGATGAAAATGATGTATAGATAGGCGGAAAGGAAGGGAAGGTATGAAATGAAAGAGAAGGGAGTGGAATAAAGTCGAAATGAAGTCGAAATAAAAGCAGGGAGGAAGGAGAAGAAGGGAGTGCAATAAATAGAATGAGAACAGGAGAAAACGAAACGAAACGATAAAATATGGAATCAAGGAGGACCACTGAGGTAGGGGAGAAAGAAAAGAGGATGTACTCACGCGTCTCATTATGCATCCCCGCCACACTCGCGACCAGCTTGTCCCACCGGCGCAGCGGAATGAAGCGATAGCCATGCAGCACATAGGGGTTGTTCCGCCACGCGTCGGGCAGGTCGTCGTACCCGATCAACGTGCTGCCGTGCTGCGAGCGTGCGAGCGCGCGTGCGACCTCGTCATCTGCGTCTTCGAGGGGGAGTGATAAAGATGACAGCGATGGCGGTAAAGACAACGACGGCAGCGACGATAGCCTCGGCAGCTCCGCCAGGAACGCCTCGAGCACCTCTGCCAGCCTCGCCGGTGCCCTCGCCTTCAAGTCAAAGTCAAAGTCGAACAATTGCTCGAACTTGGGCGTGGTGATCAAGTCGCTGTCGTGGAGGTGGGCGTGGAGGCGGCGGAGACGTGCGGCGAGGGTGGGGACGTAGGAGAGGGGCCGGGAGAAGTCGAGGGTGAGGTCGAGGTCGGCCCATTGCCGCGCGACGAGTGCTTTGAGCTCCGCGATGCCCAGAGGCATGTCCGGCAGGAAGTCGAGACCAGCGAAATCGAAATCAAAGTCAAAATCGAGAGCAGCAAAGTCGAAACGCGACTTGAGGTCATCCATGTCTGGTAGGTGTGCACCGAGGTCAGGCAGGTGGGAGCGCACGTCTGCGCGGATTGCGTGCAGCATGTCCAGCGCAGTAGATGCCCACTCGGCGGATTCAAACTGACAGAGCCTGCGTTCGAGGTCTGCAAGGTAAGAGAGCACCAGGAAGCGCAAGGAGGCCAGTGCTTGGGTGGGTGAGGCCGGGGAGAGGTCCAAGGCTTCAAGAGAGAGCGGGAGCGGGCGGCAGGGCGGGAGGCGCGGCGGGGCGGCCCGGGGTGGCGGGGCGGACATGCGGCGGCGGCGGAGACGGGGCGGGCGGGCGTCGGGGACACTGGAGGACATGGTGGTCGGGGAAAGGAGTCGGTGGAGTGCATATCGGAATCAGGGAAATCAGACGCCAAGTACCACGCACGTGAGCGGCCATCTCTTGCTCCTGTTCATCACCACCAACGTTCAAGTTCACAAGCTCCGTACCCTAGCGCGGTTTATGCTGAAGCTTTCGGACCGGCTTCATTCCTCACTTCATCTTGAGCCACTCCATTCTCCGCAGCCGCCTGCCGCTTCATTTTACCCTTCAATTCATTTTTCGGTCCTCCATTCAACGTGTCTTTCATCTCTCGCGTTCTACGTCACCTTGTCTTGTCTGCCACGCCGCCTGCCCGACACTTCCGCCCCCTGCGCGCTGTTCACGGACACCACAGCCCGGCGGACCACTACATACGCCCTCGGATATGTGCCCGACTCTGCGCCCCTCCTCGCGCTCTAATCCCTACATAGCGTGTGTCGCCCCTCGCGTCCTCCGTCTCGACCTACCGCAGCGCCAGCACGTCCCCTTCGAGGTCTCACCG